CTCTGATCGCTTCAGATTCACCTTCCAAGGCAAGAAGGGAGGAGAAACAGGCTAAATTCTTCCGTCCCCCAACGCTGTACTTCAACAGTCGTTCCCCAAGGACTGGGTTCATCTCTGTCTGATAAGAAATTACTGTTCCGGAATCCGTCATCAATGTCACTTTCCTACGGTAGCAATCAACAATTGCACCGTGCCTTGACAGCCAATCCATTCCGAGTACCACATCAAACAGGGTCATCAGAAGGATAATCAAATCTGCTCTCAATCGTTCACTACCAATCGTGATTTCACATGATTTACACACACTCATTACCTCCACACATCCCAGTGGGGAGTTCAAAGTCATCGGGACTTCTAAATTCTCACTCTTCAATTTCAAAGTCCGAACAAAAGAGCTTGATATGAACGAGTGTGTAGCACCTGTATCAAACAACATGTGAGCAAAAGAATGCGAGATTAGGATCATACCCTTAACCACCGCGTTGTTGGTCTGACCTCCAGAGCTACCTCCTGCCAGGGCATAAGCTTGTCCCTGTACTTTTCCTTTTCCTCTGTCACCAACATTAGGCCGCTGAGCCGGAGGCCTATACTGTTGTGGTAGAGGCAGTTGTGCCGGTCTCGGCGCTTGAGGTCGGAACTGTGTATACTGAGGCGGCTGATAAGTCAGCGCATGAGGGTATGACATCTGTTGCGACTGATATGGTGGCTTGTATTGTGGTGGCCCTTCTTGGCTGTAGGAAGTGTCACTTTGGGCTTGTTGAGCCGGCGGCCGATTAGGACAATTCCTCCTAATATGGCCCACTTGCCCACAATGGTGACACTTGGCCCCGTAAGGAGCACTTCTGTCACCCCCAGACGAACTACTGCCACCGCTTGCCATTTCCCCAACCATCTGTCCCTGGTTGCGGTTTCTTCTACCACTCCGCTGTGGTCCACCGGAAACAAAAGGTCTCCCAGAGACGGAGACTCGCCCCGCCTCTTCTTCTTTGCTTTGGCGATAGGCCAAGTTATCCTGTTCCCCTCTTGTAGCAGCAGCTACCAAATCCCGGAAGTTTCGAAGTCTTAGAGCCACCAAGGATCTCCTCACAGAGTTCTTGAGGCCCTTCTCAAACTTAAGACATCTCATGTGTTCAGACTCACCAGAGATGGCGCAAACCGGGACAGGTCATTAAACTTAGCCTCATATTGCCTCACCGACATGTCACCTTGCTGCAGCGACATGAACTCAAGTGCTTTTTCTTCCCTGTAACTCTGAGGGAAATACTGGTCATTGAACAGCGTCTGAAACTGCTCCCAGGTCAATCCTATGACGTCCATTCTCCTCTTGACCTGTTTCCACCAAGTGTTTGCTAACCCTTCCATCTTATACACTGCAAATTCCCCCCCGTATTCATCTGGGACTCCCATAGTACTCAAGTGCTTAACTATGGAGTCAATCCAGAACTCCGCCTCCTGGGGTCCTCCCTCACTATTAAACGAGGGGATAGGCGCACGCCTAAATTCCCGGAAGTACCCTTCCTTCCTATCCTCAACCGGCCGCTCGTTTCGAGCTCTTGTGGCCATGCCTTGAAAGGCAGCATACATGGCATCCAGAAATCCTTGATTCTGTTGTGCCGGTTGATTAGCAGGCCTACGGCGAGGCGCCATTTCTTTCAACTGAAATAAAACTAGCCTATTCAGTGGATTACAGATGTCACACATGTATGTACAATCCTGGGGTTCTTAACCTAAAGCTCTGATACCCCTCTTGTCACGCCCCCCAAACGGGGTGGGTGACGTGGAACTCAATTTGGGATTTATAGAGCAGACTCCCAACCGGATCCCACACTTAACTGCATAAAAATATAAATAAACGACATAATCCAGGAGCCTCTGACACACAGGGCTCCACCCCACAGGACATACAGTATCGTACATACATGCACATGTAAATAATCAATTACAACAGACATCATCCACAGTCTAGTAAATCCAA